TGTCAGGGACCTTTCCAAAGTACTGAAGAGCAACGATGTCAGTCTGGATACTAAAATACACCTAATACAGGCCATGGTCTTTGCAATTACTTGCTATGCATTGGAAAACTGGACAACAAGTAGGGAGAATTGATGCCTTTGAGCTGGGGTGCTGGAAAAGAGTATTGCATATAGCATAGACTGTTAAGAGAACAAACAAGTTTGTCCTAGAGAGGGTGAAGCCAGGTTGCTCCTTGGAGGCAAGGATTCTGTAGCTCTGTCTGACATACTTTGGATATGTTGCATCGAGGGGCCAGTCCTTGGAGAGGGATGTCATGCTTGGGAGGGTTGAGCAAAATCGCATGAGAGGAAGACCCTCTATGAGGTGGATTGATTCCGTGACTAGGGTAATGGGGATAGGTGTGTCAGAGACAATAAGATTGGCACAGGATAGAGCAGGGTTTAGGGCTGTTGTGCATAGGGTCTCTTTGAGTCACAGGCAACTCCACAGCACATAACAACAACAGTTTCTCAATATGTATCCTAGTTTTTCCTTCCTGTCTGCCTGTTCTCCTTTCTTCCTTCATTGTCTCCCTCCCTCCATTCCCCCCTCTCTCTTTTGTCAAACTATCCCATTCTGTGGCAACATATTTTTCCATTAAAAGGGGCAGAGAGCCAATTTACTGTAATGTATATCTACCAAGTCCTATAGATAGGGATCCACATAAAGAAGTGTTGAAGTTTTTCTTAATAAAGAAGTGTTAGTGTTTTTCTTAATGGTTGTTATTGTTAAAAACAAAAAGTTGTCTTTAAAAGAACTTCAGGCCTTTAAAAATCACTGCCCCTTAGTATTTCTTTCTCCAATGTGAGCGCGCAGGAAGGGAATTCTGGAGCATTGCAATGTTCTCATGGACTAGAATTGCTGTAGCTAAAATCGGATTGATATTTTATTTAAAACTTATTTTCCAAAAATGCTTCTAAATGATAATTTTTTCTAGCTACAGATTTTGAAAAGCATTTAAAAACAGTTTCACAGTGCACTCGTCTGGATGGCATCATTACTTTGATGCAGAAGAATGGCTTTATGGATGTGGGAAAAAGAAATTTTTTTTAAAAAATAGCTCCTCTCCCTAAGACCAAGTTCTTCTCCCCACTTTCTCTTTGTAGCTCTTTGCCCCTTTTCATCCAACCTTATTTGCAAGATTTTCATCACTTCTGATACAATTTTCCATTATATTAAGTGGGATGGCTTAAATGTAGTACTTTATTTTATACAGACATCCACTTTTAAATCATACAAGGAAAAAATTCTAACTTCCCCTCAAATCACAATGTAAAAAGGAAAGAAAAGAAGTCTTCATCCCAAGACTCAATTTTTGTCTAGGTTTGATTCCCACTCTGTGTTCTAATTAACTAAACCATTTCTGTCCATTTCCCTTTTCTTTTTCATAAAAAGTTATCAAAAGCCTTAATCTACATGGTTGAAAATAGAGATATAAAGGGTAAAAATGAGTTTGCTTTAAGTGCTTACCAATTAAAAAAAAATCAGAATATAAAATGGTATCCTGGAGTTTTACAGCAACGCCTACATTTGCAATAGAGTTGTCTTGTATTTACTGTGATCTTCTTGATATTTCACTAAACTATATAATGTAATTTGAATTTTCCAGGCTTTGTTAATAATGCAGAAGCCTCTTATTTGTATATAAACTACCTTTCAGAGAACACAGATCCCTTTTACAGCATTTTCTCTAACTATGCCAATTTCTACTTAGAAAATTTATATGTATACATAAAATATATATCCATATTTTCTTCCCATTGCTACAAATGAGAAAATGAGGCACAAAGACTCAGCATATCTGACATGCTTTTATAAAAATGAGGAATGGGTGACTTAAAATTGTGATGTATCCCTTAAGTTCCAAACAAATAGCAATCAAGCCTTACTACTTACCAAGATTAAAAACAATTATTTGTTTTTAAAGTTGATGAACTTCTTCTTCTATCCAGGATGTGATTTTTCTCTTTTGTGAAACAACTAAAAAATCCATACAAAACATATGGAAAAAAAAAACTCACAAAGATTTACAGATATTATGCATCAAGTAAATCAGGATCATGCTCCTTAAGAAAAATTAATGGAGTCAGCTCAATGTTGTCACAGTTTAATGAATGCAGAATCCCCAGGCCCCAGTATAGCAGTGGGGTGTCTATGGAGCCTGGAGATCAACCTGAACTGAGAAGAGGATCCTGGGAATCTTGGGAGATGAAGCTAGCTAGAGTTTTCAGAACATGTACCAGAGAGGACTGAGTTATTTAAAAAGGGAATTCCAAGGATCTGAGTATAGATCAATGCATACCTGTGAAAAAATTATCACTAGAGAGAGAACTGTTCAGAGACAGTTCTCTGTGAATTTCTTATTTCTTCATGTCTTAAGAGCAGAGGCACGGACTGCTTTGTTCCAGAAAATTGTTTCAAGAATGCTTTTAATAGTGAACTGCCTTAGAAGACTTAGTGTGTTCCTTGGTAATAATAAAGGACAGGTATACTTAAGATCTATCAACAATCTATATTATGCAGATGACACAACCCTGCTTGCTGAAACTGAGGAGGACCTGAAGCACTTGCTGCAGAGGGTCAAGGACTGCAGCCTACAATATGGATTGAGGCTCAATGTCAAGAAGACAAAGATTCTCACCACTGGACCAATTGGCAGCATCAGGATGGATGGTGAAGAGATTGAGATTGTTCACAGCTTTAGTTTGCTCGGCTCCACAGTCAACACTCTTGGCACCAGTAGCCAGGAAATTAGAAGACATATTGCGATGGGAAAGTCTGCTGTTAGGGACCTCTCCAAAGTACTGAGGAGCAATGGTGTCTCTCTGGAGACTAAGGTGCGTCTGATACAGGCCATGGTCTTTGCTATCACTTCTTATGCTGCATAGTGTTGGACAGTGACTAAGGAGGATAGAAGGAGAATTGATGCCTTTGAGTTGTGGTGCTGGAGAAGAGTATTGAGGGTACCATGGACTGCTAGGAAAACACAGATTCATCCTGGAAAAGGTTAAACCAGGCAACTCCCTGGAGGCAAGGATTCTGAGGCTACATCTAACATACTTTGAACATGTTGTAAGGAGGTCCTTGGAGGGGGATCTCATGCTTGGGAGGGTAAGGGGACAGCCCAGGAGGGGAAGGCCCTCTATGAGGTGGGTTGATTCAGTGACTGGGGTAATCGGAATGGGTGTATCGGATACAGTGCGATTGGCACAGGACAGAGCAAAGTTTAGGGCTGTTATACATAGGGTCGCTATGAGTCGCAAGCGACTCAACGGTACATAACAACAACAACATACTTACGGTCCAGTATGCAAGATGTAGACTTGCTAAGCTAAGGGTAACTTTTTTGTAATTCAACCCACTGCAAGTGCAGGGGACACTTGGTTCTCTTTACATTGTGAGACTTGAGCTTAGGGAACTGATGAAAGAAAATATTGATAATAATAATAAAGCCCTTCGTTTATGCCCAATATAGATCTGATAGCCTCAGACCTGTCAGCAACTATCAAATTGTAACAAGCTAAATTGTTAGCTGGCAAGTAGAGCAAAATCTCAGACTCTTCAAAGTTCATCAGAGAACCTCCTGAAAGAACTAGAAAGATTTAATAATCACTACGTCTTCCACAGGTCCAGGAATATTTCCTACCAAAGTGGAAAACTTATAAATCACAGGGTACGGGACAAGTGCTCAAAAATTAGTCATTAGATAAAAGGCCTCTATGTTCTTGTCTAGCAAAGCTTAAAAACACATCTTAAAAGGGTCAAATTGTTATAAAGTAACTTGACTACAATGACAAGAAATTTTAAGTACCCACGTGGCCTAAAAAGGGAAAATTCATGATTTCTCACATCCAATAATAACAATTATCAAGCTAGCAAAGAAGCAGAAAAAGAAAACCCTGAATCATAAAAATTATTGAAGAGGAACCAATCCAGAAATTAGGCTAATGTTAGAATTAGTAGATAAAGACTTCAAAATGTATGTTCAAGAATGTATTCCATTCCAAGAAAATAAGAATTGAGGCACAAATGGAGACTTGTACACCAGTGTTCATAGGAACATTATTCACCATCGAGTCAGTGTGCAAAACAACGTATATAAACTTTGTGAACTTTGTATGTAAACCAGTATATATGTAAAAAAAGAACATGGAAACAGTTCAAATGTTCAGCCACTATAGAATGGATTGAGAAATTATGGTACATTCACATGATGGAATACTACACAGCACGCAGGAGCAGT